CAATACTAAAAAAGCCAATATTCTTGATCAGTACAAAACAATAGCTCACGAGATATGATATCTTGATGCAATGAAATGGTCACATTTTAAAAGGTTCATTCTCGGCAAGAGCAAAGCTCGGCTGTCGAAAAAAACAGAAAAGGGGCAGGATATCTTGTGGTTCTCACAGAAGCGCGGAGCTTGCGTCTCAAATCTTCTGTACATCAACATTCGGAAAATATCAGTGGCAAATTTGACTGTCAATTGTCTAATGATTTCTAGCAGCAAGCCTGAAAATCTAAAGTGTGGTCTGATCTACTTGACACTAAAGTCCTCTCGTAATTCCAGGGGCAGATCTCTTAAAATGACCTCACGAGGTGTCCAACCTCGTTCGGGAGACCTTCCCGCAGCCAGACCGAGCCCTGATGTCGCTAGTACGCATGATTCCTTCTCTTGCAAGCATAAACGGCTTGCGCCGCTTAAACCCGTTTGCCGAGATTTCAAATTGGGCTAGAAGAGGACAGTCCTCCAACATTAGCTGTCATCCTATACATGTTAGGGCTGCGTGAGCCCTGCCATCATTCGACAAGGCGCAAGCAGTGACGCTCAGTCCTGGATTTCGTTGCGGGTGGCTCGATTTAGGGTGAAGAGCTTCCTCCATTTATTTTCTTTCTTTTATTCGCGAAGTTAATTACCTTTCTCTTGGAGAGCTTGCAGCTCTTCATGAGACGCTGGCTGATTCACAGGCCTTTCAGGGGCTTGCTATGGTACAGACCTGCTCAAAACTGTGCCTAGTACCTTGTGCACTTCGACCTGAAAGGGTCCAAACGGGAATCTTTCGCCATCTATAACCACATCTCCATCGGTTTGATTCCTCGGAACAATACGATAGGCCGCTGCCTTGCGGTATGTCACTAGTGGCGAATTAATTAAAGACCCACGCTCGACTTCATTGATAAACCTGATAGATTCAAGAGGTGAGATGTCTCCATCGATAGACACGACATCTATCAGCCCATCGTTTGGCAATGCGACGTTGAAAAACTTCTTCCCTGGTGCCATGTAACCAAGCTAAGATACAAACTGTCAGTTGAACATGTAGCTCTTATCAGTGGTCATGACATACATTGCCAGCATAGAAATTCCCCATGTTGTCATATTTGATCATCACCCAATCTTCAGGGACCGGGTCATCCACAGTTCCATACATCAATGGCGGAAGCCCCAGAGGATCCTTTCCCGCGATCGCTTCTTGAGTATAGATAGACGGCTCTGTCTTCGCTTTTTTGACAATGCCTCCATTCTTCTCAATTAGGTAGTGCTCAAGCATATTCTTCTTGTCTTGCATCTCAATTTTGATTGAAATATCGCATGGGTATATTTTACGCGCCAAAACTCGTCGCAAATAACCGTAAGTTAGTCGAGACTCGCCCATCCATCTTAAATGTTCAGTAGCACGACCGGTCTCTGCGATGACACCCAAGGCTTGTGACAAGAAACTCACGGTACGTTTTCCGCCTTGAGTTATACTCGCCAAGTCAAGCCGCGTCCGATCTCCTTTCAAGATAGCCAGTGCTGCTACTGTCGGCTTGTCTGTTCCATACAAATTCACGGCCAGCGCGTTGCCGCCACCACAGGGCACATGTGCTATAGCGATCTTTGAGAGGGCATAGCCGGCATCTGGCCGTCTTGCCAGCCCATTGAAGACTTCATGGGGTATACCATCGCCTGAACATGTGACTATCACGTCGTACTCTTCAATATCCAGGTCTTCGACAAGCTTGACGGCGTGGCCCCTGCTATCCGTATGTTTTACACTCAAGCTCCAATGGGCAGCATCGAAAAGAGGTCGGACATCACGCTCCCAAATTCTGAGCGCCTGTCGCCGTCCCGAGTGAGGATTTATCAGTACATAGGCGCGCTTTCTCGATTGCGAAGATCCATATGCCTTCGAAAGGAGCACTTCAACCCAGGTAGACGGCAAAATGCGGTAGGAAGAATGATTGGAAAGTTGAAATCGCTGACTTTTGAATTCAAGATGATTGTTCGAGTTTTTTACGACATGGTCAATTGTTACAACATCGTCGATTGTCGATGCCCCGAGAACATCGTGAAGGGCCACATTGTTCCAGGGAACACAATTTGCTGAGAACAGCCAACCTGGCTTCTTTGCAGTTGGAATATCAACTTTCAAAGAATTTCCATCGATCACTAAACTGCCAAGTTTGACTTTTAATGTGTTATACTCTTCGCTGTCGTGTTGGCGATTATCTACCTCATGCTGTTGCTGGGTCGGACTTGGAACATTTTGACCAATGACTGCCTGTGATGCAGGCACTAAAGAAAATTGTCTTTGAAGCTCGCACATATTTTTGTTGTTATATCATCGCATGGATATGAGATCTGTTTTGGGTTTTAATCTGTTACAGCGCAGTGAGGTTGTAAGCTGAAGTAAGCCACCGGTCACCATGACTGCTTGAAGCGAAGCATAAGCACTAACAATGCTCACTGTTTGACCGCTTCATGCGACGTTCCTCTCAGTTGCATGGCGGCCGCCTCGCTTCGATAGGCTTTGTTCAAGGGCGCCTCAGCCATTCGAACCCATCTATTGAGAAGCATTGACGCTATATATGCGTTGCTGGCGGGTATGTGATACGCATTTGTTCCAAATACCTATTATCCTTCTAAATACCACCCGGTACCTACAGCCCGACTTGAACGTTTGACCAAATTCAAGACCCCATCAAGCCTCTAGTAAGAAATAATCCAATGGTTTTGTATCCCCGGCTTTGAATTAGATGCAGCCCAGACAAATGGCACCTTGGCAAGAGTATTAGCTCAGGAACATCAGGTTGACAAACCACATTCATCGTGTCGGATCGGGGCACGTGGCAGCGTGGCTATATTACAGCCGGATGTTGCGCTCGAATGATGCTTCAATTCCTATCCGCCAGATTGACGAGGCGTCTTCCAGGAAAAACAAAATAATCAAAATGAAACTGCTCCCTAGCAATTGCTATATTATAGCTATGCTGTGTTATCGCCTACGTAGTCATTGATTTGTGCACAATTTGATACTGCGGGTTTCAAATCCTGGGGAATGCAAAATCTCTATCCTAGCATTCACTTCAAAGTTGTTTTATCATGAAGTACACTGTAGAGGTCGAAACTTGGCAACGTGTGAAGGCAATCAGACCAGCAAACACTAGCGTGGACCTGATTCCTTGGCCTTGTAGTGGATCCCTCACCCTATCAAATAAGAGTCTGCTGGATCAACACGTGAAGTGAATACCAAGAGACTTTTAGAAAGGACATATACGCAAACTCATCAAAACAGCAGGCGTTATTGTTGAGATGTTGATCCTACAATTCTTGGCTGTGGGGTGCTTTGGATGCCTCCTCATTTGCGACAATGCAACATGTTCATTCAGGGCACTATAAAAATGATTGTGTTGTCCTCATCGAAACTGAATGTTCCCGCAGTTTAGCCATCAGTTGTCAAGGATAAACATTTGACAAGATGAAGTACTCACTTGCCTTACCCGCCTTTCTGGTTACTGTTGCTTCAGCCAAGATAGTCGATATCAACCTTCGTTTCCTCACTTACAATATTCGCTGGGCAACTCCATCCCCAGGTGTTGGTGAGCCAGCATGGACTGAGCGGCGCCCAAAAATGTCCGCGCAACTGAATTTTGAGACCGCCAATCGTCCTGAAGCATTGATCTGCTTGCAAGAAGTTGTCCATCAGCAAGTGACCGACATTCACTCTGATCTCGGCAATGATTGGGCCCGCATTGGTGTTGGCCGTGACGATGGAGCTGAAGCTGGCGAGTATTCGCCCATTTTCTACCGCCCTGGTACCTGGGAGTTGCAGAAGAATCGAACGTATTGGCTCAGCGAGACTCCCGACAAGGTTTCCACCGGCTGGGATGCTGCGCTGCCCCGGATCGCTACTGTCGCGCAGTTCAAACACATCAAAACCGGTGCCCCGCTTGTATATATGTGCACGCATTTTGATCACGTCGGTCAGGTAGCTCGGGAAAACAGTGCAAGGCTTTTGATTCAGATTGCCGACGAGTGGGAGGAACCTGCTGGAAGTTCAGCCAACCCGATCCCGGTTTTCTTGGGGGGTGATCTCAACATTCAGCCAGATAACGCAGCGTACCTCACTCTCGTTGCGGAGGGCGCAATGCATGATACTAAAGATATTGTTCCTTCTGGGCGCTGGCATGGAAACACAAACACCTTCACCGGCTTTACTACGTCCAGCTCCGATGACTCCCGTATAGACCACATGTTCGTGAGGGATCCTCTTGATATTGAGTTCTTATCGTATGGCGTGCTGCCCAATTTATTTGACGACGGGGTGTTCATTTCAGATCATAGACCAGTTGTTGTTGACGCACAACTTTCTGTCAACAAGACCTGTGTCTCGCGATGATCAGAACTAGGAAGTTCAAAGAAATCGTCAAACCCAAAAGAGAAAGAGAGGGAATATTAAAGGAAGCGCAAAAAGTAGTCAGACTTTTGAATGTAGTCATTTTATTTTAATCAAAGACTCGTGTGCGCCTTTGCGCAGCTTTTGAGCAAATCTTTATGCTATGTGTTGTGGATTCCCGCGGTCTGCGTACAACTTTAGCCAAGTTTTCGTTCTTTTCTTGCAACTCCTGACTGGAGGCTTTCCTTGCACGCTAGAACCTGCTCATTGCGATTATTATAGCCACTGGTTAGCAACATGTCCCTCCTTTGATACGCAGAGTTTTAGAGACAAGAATCTATGAAAGGCCACCGAACACTTAGGTTCACCTTATAATCTTGTGCCGCAAAAAGTGATATCGAGTTTCAGATTCCATCATGTCTTCGCTATATAAAGAAGCTGCTAACCACCAATCTCTCTTTCTAAAGCATAGCAGCTTTTCTCAGCCATCTCACCTTGAAGTCGCTTGCAAACCCATGGGATTTCGCATCTTGAATCCGTAATGCCTGGGATTCTCGGACCTCAATCCCGATCGTTCTCTTATATGAACGGTGGTGAAAATGAACTCCTTGATCGCCTTGCTGTGTCAGAGCTTTGTAAAGGGTGGGCGATCTTTTACGACTCGTCGGAATGGGAAAAGTATCGGTCGCTCTTTACTGACGATGCATACGTCTGGACCAGTAAGTGTGATGTTGCTCTTCATACTATTTTGCATTCTAAACATGTTGCAGCGGAGAATGGGCCACTGGCAATTGACAATTTCATTGCCATGTCCAAATTGGGCAAAGAAAACGGCACCATTGTCATGCACCGCGAATGCGGCACTATTGTCGAGCTGAACGGTGAAGCACATCGCGCAGTCGGCAAGATGAAAGCCACAATATCACAGCGCTTCAACTCTGAAGGTATCGCTTTCGACATTGACTGCGACTGTCGTTTCATTTTTTTCTGTGCTCGAGATCGACAAACGTGGGATTGGAAGGTGAAATTTGTCAAACTCTTTTATGAGAAGGACAAGATTATCCCCGTCAACGGACAGAGTGTGCCCGCATTTACCACCGAGGAAGAGCTCGAGATGGCTGGCTTTCCCAACGGCTATCGATATCTCGGTATCATGCAAAAGCGACTAGGATATGATACCAGTCTGTATCTTCCAACCTGCAACAATGAAGTCTGGGATAGGATTTACGAGGCAATGGGAGACTGGCTAGCTGCTGATGAGAATGAACTCTTTTCTATTGAGGATGATAATGAGGATAATAACGAGTAAAACTCGTAGACCAAGATAGTCCTGGATAAGCGGCAAGACGCCCGGCCCGACCTGTGGCAAGTCGCGTTGAAGATCCATTTGATATTTTTCTTGCACCTGTTTAGCCCTGTAAGCTTGTAAAAGTGTTGGTTCAATGGTGGTAAAAAAAAAGAAAAAAAAAGACCACGTTATTCACCACAATACCTTGCATTGTATGAAATTCAGGGCAGTGAAGCTGATGTTCATGCTGTTGCGGCCATTACATAAAATGATGTAAGTAAGAGAGTCGAACGATGTGAATAATGTATATGGATGAAACAATTTATCTTGTGTCTTGGATCGACTCCGATGGCTTTCGAGGCCCTAACACTCGGCCAATGGTGAAAGTGAAACTGGTTCTTGTTGACTAAGATCAGTGCACGCGGTCGTCTTGATAAAACATCATCCATGCTATTTCAGCATTGTGTCACCAACAATACATTTTGCTAATAGACCTTTACTTCTTCGGATTTATACAACACGAAGTTATTTGGTGATCGTGCCAGGTTTCTCCACATATCCTTTAACCAAACGCTCTGCCTTTTCTGCATTCGGATCGAAGTACGGGCGCTCTGCTTGTGGCGTGATGCGCAACATATGCCGTCTTGTGGTTCCTTCATTCACGACGAAATCTCGAAGAGCGGAGCTATGCATTTTGGTTAGTGTCAGAAGCTCCCTGTTGTGATCATAAGAAAACATCGTACTGTTGAGTGACACGGTTATCATAGACCGCCACGGTACCAGGCAACCAGTGGATTCGGATGTGCCAATCCTGTCCATGTTCGATATGGTTGTATAGAAAGTTCAAAACCGTCGCTAAATCATGTAAGAAACTTTATCATCACGAGAGAAGGTTTCTGGTGACAAACCACTTTCTTCTTCCTTCAACCCCTGTATCCTGCGAGTATATAGACGGTTGACATATAATGAGTTGGTTTTGGTAACCTGATCAAGTCAGGACAAATGCTAAAATGATGGTGAGATGAAATTACTAACAGGGTGTGTTCGCACAATTGGATGCAGTGTTTCAATTGGCTCGCGAATGTAACGGTCTCTGTGGTCATGGACAGCAGCTTGTGAAAACCCGGAATGCGTTGCATGCTTTCCTTTCAGAAAATCCCGGAAGTCTGGCGACAATGCATTGTAAGCAGCTGTAGTAGACAAGTATAGAGTGTCACCACCCGATTCGGGCACGTCTAAGGGCAAGAAAATTGTAGTGCCCATTCCGTTACTGCCGAAGTGTTAGCTCTGACTGCGACAACTATGGCGACATCAAATTAATCTAACATCTCGTAACTCATATCGCTATGCCACTTGATGCTGCTGATGTTGTTTTTAATTTCATTATCGACAGCACCAGCACTACCATACTATCAGCATTTCCTTTTGCCATAACGAGGGAAAACTTGCATAAAGTCACGATAGACAGGGAGCAATTCCGGGTAGTCCTTGATCTGACCCCCCATCTGATGAACATGAAGCTTGCCGAAATACTCTCCAAATTGTCGCTGCCTTTCCGGTCCAATATCAGCAAAATCTTGGTCACGAAAGATGACAATACCCCGCTCAGCGGCCAGAAGTGCCAGCTCATCTTTTTGCTCCGAGGTCAATGAGCTCAACTGTAGATTATGTACTTCGGTACCAATTGCCGGCGTGATCTCCTTAAAGACTGCATCTGGGGCACTAAAGAGGGAACTTTTCTTTGAATTGGCACGTAAACCCACGTCGTGATGTTCGAACTCTTCAAGGGGCGGGTGTTTCCCAGGGGTATAGTGTGGGAGATACGCCGCATATTTGTACTGTAGAGAAGAAACTTAGCTCGAATTTGAAATCATTAATTTATAGAGAAACACCACGAAGCGATCTACCTCTTCTTTTTCATAGTTCAGGGAGGTTTCTGCGGGAAGCTGCAATTTTTCAGGCGGCGGCGCAGTCTGGGCGGGTGAAATAACGGTTTGGGTAGCCATGTCACGAAATATATCCCCGTGAGCATCAAATGCAAGATAAATATTATCGATGTTGACGCCTTATTTTGCTCCTGGCCGGGTATCGAGACATTTATCTGTGCCTCGCGATCGGCACTCGCCGACCTTCCAAGAATCGTGTCATGGCGAATCATGCAGACGGATGACGCGACCGCCAGCCCACCGTGGGCGGATCGGAGTCAAATAGTAGCTTACAATTGAGGACCTTTCATTGCTTACAGTGCTAGTTTCAGAGTAGAGTTAACAAATGGTCTAGCCCTGGTATTCGAAATTGCGGGTTGCGATGGCGAACGTGATGTTGATCACTTATACAGAGCGCAAATCTCGGCAATGAATTCATTAAAGCCGGTATAAGTTTCTCGCAGAACTTTCACGTTGATCAAGCTGATTTGTAAGGGCTACTTTGTAATACCTGTCTTCGTCTCTTCTTGCAACCCTTCCTAGCCAATTCTCCGAAATCATGGCTGAGATAACCGGAGGTGTCACTTCTCTGCAGCAGGCGCTGACAAGATGTAGTGATGCTACCTCCGGCACAGACAATAATTCACCACTTATTGCGACCAGACGTTCTTGGTGGCGGCGGCTGGTGGGACTCATATGGGACTCTGTTGAGGGTGATAAACGAAATCGCCGATATGTTCAGAAGTTGGATAGCTTTTTATTGTCAGTAACGCCATACACTGTATAGAGCGAGACTACAGCTTGATTACTTATCGCTTGTGTTTGCAGTTCCTACATATGCTTGGGGTATTTCGTGAAGTATTTGGATCAGCAAAATTACAGTCTGCACTCGCTGCCATAGTGATCAATAAGATGCTAACGGATCATTAGGCAATGCCTTTGTCAGTGGAATGAAAGAGGATGTGAGTAGTTACCTAAGGAATCATTTGTGTCGAAGCATTTTAACTTTGAGTGCTAATCTCTAACTCTTGTCGTTAATAGCTTCAGCTATACGGCAACGAACGCAATTGGCTCGTGACATATTTCAATCTGGGTATTATCGTTGGAACTATCCCGTCGCAGATGGTGCAACTCCAGTATATCCGCCCATCATATTGGATTCCATTTTGTGAAGTGTCCTGGTCTGTTCTCGTGATGGGAATGGCAGGCGTCAAGAACATTGAAACAGTAAGCTTTTGATAAATATCATTTTCGTTGGAAATGCCAATTCTTACAGTAATGGCTTAGCTGTATGCCTTGAGATTCTTCGTTGGACTTTTTGAGGCATGTGCCTTTCCGGGATATGCCGCTCTCCTCGGCGGTTGGTATGGTCCAAATGAGCTCACCAAAAGAGTTGCGATATTCGAACAGACAAGCGCCATCGCCAGCATGTTCAGTGGCTATTTGCAAGCTGGTCTATATACAAGCATGAATGGAAAGCACGGTCTTGCCGGCTGGAGATGGTTGTTCATCATTGATGGTGTCATATCTATCCCTATAGCACTGTGGGGTCTCTTCGCAATCCCAGACCTCCCGCACACGACGAAAGCTTTTTACTGGACCAAGGACGCAAGTAAAATCAAATTACTTTATATATATATTGCTAATGTTCTGTAGGACAAGAAATATGGCGTAGAGCGAATCGAGAAGATTGGTCGGGGAGCTCCAAAACCTCTAACCTGGAGTGTAATCAAGAAAGTGTACACCAATTGGCGTCTCTGGTTGTTTATATTTCCATACACGTGAGTGGCAATCTTTAGTCTCATAAATTTCTAACCTTGATGCTAATATATACCAGGATGGTGGCCAACGCAGGTCTGGGCTCCAATTACTTCAATCTCTGGCTGAAGGCAAATCACTATTCTGTTGTGCAAACCAATGTTCTCCCCACCGCCGGAAACGTTGTCAGCGTGGTGACAGCATTTGCTTTTGGGATATATGCCGACAGAACTGGACAGAGACTCTATGCAATTATAGCCATCCAGCTGCTTCTTGTTCTTTCCAACACGCTTCTGTCTATCTGGTCCATTCCGACAGGCGCTCTGTTGTTCGCGTTTTACCTCTCCTATATCAGCGGCGCAGCCCAGCCAATCATCATAGTACGTTCTCATCGTATATATGAATATTATATGCGAACTGAAGCTAATATGTGGCTAGGCCTGGGGTCACGAGCTCAATGGTGCTGATCCGAACTTGCGGCAACTCCTCGTCGCAACAGGCAATATTTTCACATACGCGTTCTCAATGTCTCTTCCCCGTGAGTTACCAACGATATATTATCGAGATCTAATTTGTGATGAGAATGGCTGACTTGTGATAGTGGGCCTCTTCCCAACATATGATGCTCCTCATTACAAATACGGATATCAGATATTGATTTTATTTGGGGGACTTTCCATCATCGGGGCTCTCCTTCTCGAATGGCAGCACCGGCGTCAAATGTGAGTTCTTGCCCCGAGTGTACTGGAACCCCCATCCACAGTAATGCTAAGTCCATATTAACTAGATCCGACAAATTCAATTCACCTTTGATATCCGAAGATGATTTTCCTCGGGACTTGCACTCAAGGAAAGATACAATCCAACATAATGATAGAGACATAGGACAGCTAGAAGAAAGCTAATGATGGTTACCACTTCAACCAAACAAATTGGTGAAGCATATGGATTCCCATCGACCTGTTAAGCCATTGACAGACTTAACCTCTCATAACCTCATTATATAAACCTACAACAGCCATACAGCCTTAACAATAATGTGAAGGAACTTGAATTGAGCAATCACTTAGCTTGGTCATACAAATTTACTCCATTACATGCCAGTTCTGGATGCTAGCGGATAGAGTTCACTGTACAGCTAGCCTGACTAGTTCGTCCGGAGCCTAGACATGCATTGCGTCATAATCGATACAACCATTCTCTTGGTTCTAAAGTCCAATGTCGTCTAGCATGATCTCCGGTTATCTTGTTTTAGTTTTTCTTTGTACGAAGCTCGCTTTGTAGTCGAGAGCTAAGACAATGAGGAGTTTGCAGTGGTCCATATGTCACGTTTTGTAGTGGACAAGTAGCACGTACCAGAATACAGCCTTTGTTTCTTGAAAGAGATATATATTCAAGTTCGATGGGCACAATGTAGGTGTAGGAACCAGATCATTAAGACCTCAAGTGAATACATTTGCAAAGGTCATTAACTCTATTCCTTCAGCGATGGCGTCCCAAACTCGAGTGCGGATGGTTCTGCAACATGATACCGGCACCATACTCTATTGCGATAGCGACGATGGCGTTGTTTTCCACATCGAAAATCCGATCGACTCCCAGGCATCACAAACCGATCAAAAGACCATGACGTGTGATCTATGCAAGAATTTCCTTCGTCAGCATCTAATCAAGAATGGGCGGCCATCTAGCAAGATTCTACCGTTGCTCCGATCGGACAAAGTTCAACTGCTTTTGAAGGACACCGTTGACATGCACATAGAGAAATCAGGCAACGTGGAAGAGGCAATGGATTCAATTTATAAGACAATAGGAACGCTACGGTCCACCCTGCAGCAACGTGAGGAGGCGTCTGCAGTATCTGTTCAGATGCAGATGCATTCAAAGCTTGGGTAAATGTGAACACATAGGGTCATGAATTTCAAGGCTCGGTCTGGTAGCAAAACGAACGTTTCTCTTAAGAATGTGCATGCAAGGGGCACACTACGGAATGAACTGGACAAATCTTAGATATTGCTCAGGAAATATGATCGGATTCTTCTCAGATCAGTGAATAAAATGATTGACCTCCATGTAGTATTTGAGGTTTGTATGTCTACTACTGCTATGCCGCAACTTCCGAGCACATCACAAGTGTATTGCCAAAATGTGGCACAACCACGGCCCGGCCACCCGTCATTCAGTTTGACGGGTCTCGAAAATCACCTTCAATCAGAAGAAAGTTGGCAAGTACGCTATTCGGGTTCACAAACTACTGTTGCAGACATTCTCCTATCATCTTAATTTACCGATAGTGACCCAAGATATTCAGCCTTGAAGCCTTGGCATAAATGTCCTTGATAAGGTCGCCATATCACTATGTTCAGAATTTAGCCAAAACCTTCCCGTGTCTTCACCACATGTTAAGTACGGGCAGATCCGGCCCAGACCCTTGACACTTGGGGTTACAGCTTTATCAATTTTTTGTCCCCGTTTATAATTAGTACTTGAAAAAACAGTCCCCATTTCAGATCATGAGGAGTCATGGGAGAGAAGACTTCTTGGCCTACCTCGTTGATTAGTATTTTATAGAATAATGTTCAACACTATGAGACGCTTCACCTTTCTCAGCATCTTGCTGACGCAGGCAACTGAACTTGAAGCTATCAATTTCCCCTTTGAAGCTATTCAACTCACTAACACTGATGTTGCAAACTTTTCTGCCATCAGCTTTGGCAGTCCATACGGACAAAACATTAGCTCCAATCAGGTGCAATGTAAAGCCTTCCCTGGTAGCGAAGATTGGCCGAGTGATTCTCTCTGGAACCGCTTCAATGAGTCAATTGGCGGTGCTCTTCTGAAACCTTTCCCTTTAGGAGCATACTGTTACCCAGGGCCGTACTATAACGCGGCGACATGCAGATATCTTGTCACCTTAGGCGGGTTCACTCGTCTGTATTTGAACGATCCGCTAGCGACATTGACACAGTGGACCGAAGGAAACACCTGTGTGGCTGCATTGAATGCAAAGGGAAATTGCACCCAGGGCGGCTTTCCTGTTTACGTCGTCAATGCCACAACAGTGAAACATGTTCAAGCTGCAGTCAACTTTGCTCGAAATAACAATATTAGATTGGTCATCAAGTAAGACAAATGTTTTGGGTTCGAGCAAAGAAGATTCTAATGCAGCAACAGAAACACAGGTCATGACTTCGGAGGTCGATCTGTAGGGGCTGGGGCGCTGAGTATTTGGACTCATAATCTTAAAGCATTCGAGTTCCTACCAGAGTATAGTCAGGGGGAGTATACTGGTATGGCGGCCCGAGTTGGATCTGGGCTTGAGACCTGGGAAATATTCAATGGTATGGCCGCAAACAATGTTACCATTGTTGCTGCTGGTATTTCTACTGTCGGAGCAAATGGAGGCTGGTTCGGCTATGGCGGCCACGGAACATTAACGTCGCTCTATGGCCTAGGAAGCGACCAGGCGCTCTCCATTCAGGTAGTCACCGCCGATGGTAGATTTCTTACAGCGGACCCTACGACTAACCAAGACCTATGGTTTGCGATTCGAGGAGGTGGAGCAGGTAGGGAATGTCATCTCAGATATACGCTGACGGAATGCTAATAGTTGTTTTCTAGGCACATTTGGAGTTGTGACATCTGTAATAGTGAAGGCATTTCCGCCGGTGGTGATGACGACGTCTCCATTGAGCCTAACGCTCATCAACAGACCAGTCACCAACATAACGACCGGTGGGAATAGTTCTTCGACATCCGCGCCGTTCCCGATAACGCCTCCAGGTACACTCACTGAGCCTGAAAAGTTCTGGAAGGGGATCAGCCTCTATTATAGATTCAGCAAAAAGGTCGTCGATGCGGGTGGCTTAGGCTTCAGCTACATCTATCCACTAGGAAACAATAGCTTTACACTGACAACTACCTCCCAATTCCCCAACATGTCAAGCGCTGCAATTCTTGAATTCATGCAGCCATTGTATGATGAGTTCAACGCCATTGGAATCAACATCACCAACCCACGATTCATGTTTCCAATGACGTACGGAACACCTCGCCCTGCTTCAGGAGAGGCTCCAGCAGAGACTAGATACCGGTCTCGTTTCTTCCCCCGAGAGAATTGGGAAGATGATGATTTGTGGAACAGAACGATGTTGGCCATTCGAACTTCTATAGAAGCTGGGTATACTTTCCACGGAATTTTACATGGGCCAAGTGAGGAAGTCGCTGGTTGGCCAGGCCGAGACAGCGCTGTCAACCCAGCTTGGAGGCGAGCCGTAATGCATGCAAGTCTTATAGGCACCCAGTCCAGTGGCTTCACAGCACAAGAAGCTCTTGTGGATCAATCGCGAATTCAAACATACATGGACATGTGGCGTGAGGTGACACCAGGATCCGGTGCATATATGAATGAGGGGGATCCTTTGGAGCCGGATTGGCAAGACGTGTTTTTCGGTGATCTCTACCCGCGACTTTTTGAAATCAAGAGACAGAGAGATCCATGGGGACTATTTTGGGCACCTACTACTGTTGGCAGTGAAGCTTGGGAAGTGAGAACAGAAGACGGGTACCCAGGATCCCAGAATGGAAGGCTGTGTCGAGTTGTGAGTCAACAGCAATGACTTCTATATGTGTTGATATTCACAATGTTTCGTGAGATGTAAGCGTATCTTAAGATATTCTTATAGTGATGGTGCAGAAAACAAGTTAAACCAAGACTCGAGGCACCGAAGTACAAATTCACCTCTTCCGCATTCCTCAGTGAGCAAGTTATTACGTAGCTTGCGACTACCAGAGCCAGTCCATGAACCTGTATCTATATTAGCTATCATATATCAAAGGTCCAAATACCACTTTGACTCACCTCTCGTAACGAGTTACTGGACCTTTGACGGTCAATGTTGCCTCATGGGCCTCCACTTCAGCCATACCAGTCTGGAAGTCCATATCCTGGGGCTTGATGAAAGAGGTGCGCTTGACGATTTTCCATCCAAGGTATATAACCACTGCTGCTGATTAGCCCGAGTTCATAAAGAAATTGTCAAATGTAGAACCTACAGAACAGGACGATTGTAAAATAGGCGGTGAAGAAGCCTGAAAAACTCCAATGGCCCTTGATGAAGACTCCTTGAAAGTTTATTAGAATGAAATTTCAACATAGTGTTTTCAGATTTATTTACCGTATCCATTAGTGATAAGAATGATGCTGACCCAAAAGATAGCAAAATAGTTGGAATAAGCTGATTTCCTATAATCAGTTTCTCTATTTCCGTACCAAAGCCTGATTAAACCCACGTGTAAGTCTGCTCTTAAAGGGAAGAGTTGCTGTGCTGATTCCTTGTGCCTTGAGTCCTCTATGAAATTGCAAATTGGCAACCTATAACAATCATTTAGTCACTTCGACTCTAGTCCACCTGAGCAAGAAACTCACCATCATCAGAATGTAAGCAATCATGATGGCAGTTGAGCCAAGATTAATGAACCAGTTCAGAACAACAGCGGAGGCAGTGTTGCATGTCATGAAAGCAAGGGATGCAACGGCGATCGAGAGTATCAGAGCAGGCAACGGTACGCCACTCTTGGTTGTCTTCGCGAAGATTTTTGGTGCACGTCCATGTTTGGCGAGGCCAAAGACAGTCCGTGAAGCTTGAAATAGCAAACAGTTGGTGCAGCTCCATGCAGAGGTAATGCTTTCAATGAGGTTAGAATTGACGGGTCTAATCATATGGGATGGGTCCTTACACGACTGCATTGCAAAGATCGGGTAGGAACGGGATCTCTAGTCTGTTCATGGCGATGATGAATGGTGACTTGGCAACTCCATTACCCGTAGCAATAGCCGTAACTGGAAAACATATCAACGACTTTGCATTCTTTGATAGTGATCATGTATATACGTACGCATGGTAGGGTCATTGTATGGGACGAGTAGACCGACCGCAAAAACGGAGAGGATGAAGAATACAATCAATCGGTAAATGACTCTTCTGACGGCCTTCGGAATATTTCGACGAGGGTTCTCTGCCTCTGGCGCGCAGTTTGCAATAAAATCCGGGCCGCCGATGGCAAAGGCTGCAGTATTAAACACACTACAAAGCTTGTTAAAACATGCTCGGAGAATGTTGGGAAGAAAACATACCCCCAAATGGCGAGGAATCGACCTGTTGTACCGGTGGTGTATGCCTCATTGAATGCACCAGGGTTTTTCCAATAGCGAAAGCCGATTCGATCGTGTTTCGGATTGCCACCAACAACAACGATGAAGGTGAACAGAAGGAACCCAATGATCAAGAAGATCTTGAATATTGATGCATAAAATTCAGCCTCGCCAAAGTACTTGACCGCAAGGCAGTTCAAGAAAAAGACCACCACCAATGTGACGGCTACCCACACTCCCGGGTTGATATCGGGAAACCAATACGACCATAGTCCAGTCAAAGCAGTACAGTCGGCAGCGGTAAATATCCTATCGAGACCAAATTAGACGAGACCGAGAGAACTCCTTTTGCTTAGGACAGACGTACATCCTGCGTAAAAGATCTGCATTAGAACCATCAATAGCATTATATAATGTTAGTTGAGTAGACTTACATGCTATATGCATACACCCACCCCATAGCCACGCCAGCACTCTCATCGACAAACCGGCCGATGTCTATGGATGTTACTTAGCTAGGACATGTCAAATCAGGGATAGAAGTCTTACGTGTAACGAAAGAACCCGGGACAGGAAGCAACGCCGACATTTCACCCATTGCATGAGCGACGCAGAGTAGGAAGACACACCTAGTAAACAGGTCAGTCGATATCAAACAATGTTAAGTAGAGTTGACCACCAACCAAATGGAGTATCCGATCAAGAGCCCACCAGGTCCGGCACTGTTCAGTACACCCGAAGTACCTACGAAAAGTCCTATTCACTGTGTCAATTTCTGACAAGGTGCGATGCTACCATAGCCTAGGGAGATATCCCCGGACGACTTACCGGTACCGATGACCCCAGAGATAGCGAGCAGTTGAATATGGTGTGATTTCAGGCCTCGGTGGATACCGTACTCGGAGAGATCAACCCTCGCAGTGGTGCCATTATGTTCACTGATGGACTAGATCCAGAGGGTTAGACAAAAGACATGCATGAGGAGTATTGACTTGGTCTCACCGTGTTGGAGTCCCCCAACTCTTGAACGCCCAGGGCTTTATCGCCAGAGGAACTCTTGTCTTCCATCTTGAATGTTTGTATCGCGGTCAGAGTCGATATAGAGATCACACTCAAGATGCCTGTGATGCTGCTAACGCAATGGATGTCAGGTAAGATGTTATATATTCGGACAGTCGAGGTGTTGCAGGTTTACCCATGTAGATATATGGCCCTGCTCTTGCATGCATATCAAGCCTTAGAACCCCGGAAGATATCTAAAGACCGCCATTTGATAAATGCCACGAGCCAGGGGCAACTAGATCGCGAATTGTCTGCCAATAAGCAAGCCAATCCGCGGGTGGCACTGGGAAAACTGGATCCGATATCACTTTGGCCAGGCCAGCTCGCGTGCAGCATCATCAAGGCGCGCTTATCATCTTAAGTATGTATGCAATCACCGTGCCAGATCCCTGGGGAAGGCAAGCAAGATTTGAAAGACAGAAAACTGCACCTAGAAGACGAAGGCGCGCTTATCGAACGCTAAAGTGGGACTAGTGCACCGTCGGCAGCCCGGACGGGTCGCGATAAGACAGTAGCGTGCCTATGAGACCCACACACGTATCTCATTGAATCATGAACACGCACATTACCCAGCCGATCTCCGCAAGGGTTGGTTGAAACAGAATTTCTGGGGTAAGAAAGCCCCCGGATACTCTTTTTACCTGTGCTTGTTCTCGTATGTGGTCAGGTAGGCGCGGATATCAGAGACTAAAATAGTCTCTTTGCCCCTCGCTGGATACTTGGCCCCTTGAGCTCTCTAGATTTTATCATGTAATTGAAATAGGCGCGCTGGTAAGTCCCGACCAGATCCATTTCGAGCGGAGCTAGAGTGAATGAACCAGCAGACGGAAACAAATCTTGCAGCTTATATCTATCTCCCATTGAATGAAACGAGAATACTCAGCCGAGGCTTTCTCTTGCCACCAATGCTGCCGGATCTTTGAGTGCGGTTGTCGAAGACTACGATTGTCGCCATGATCGTAATCGCTGCTTGGAAGCTGTTACTAGCAGCGTCTATCATCGCTGCAGCAATTAGATGGTGGACTAAGAAGAGCAGCACTGTCGAAAAGCAATCGAGCTTACCTGTTGACCAAAGTTAGTATACTTAAGAATATTTGCTTTTGAGACAAAGATATTGATCGATGGTCAGAGCCATGGCAATACCCAGAGCCTTCGCCAGATCTGGCGTTTGACTTGCAGACCACCAAGCCCCCAAACTACCGTGCTTTCCGATATTCATATAAACGACAGTAAGTTGGGCTCGGGTCCTGAGCTTTCAGAGCAATTTCTAACCTGCATAACTTGAAGTGTTATCGACACGCGGAAGTTAGACAAGGACTCGTGGGTTATTGTAAGCCAAAGTGATTTATTCGGGGTAGAACACTAGATATTAACCCAATGTGACAGCTTGACAAGGACTGGCCGAAATACTACCACTTAAAGGTCAATCGATTAGCCGATCGTGGTGAGAAGGTCGTGCAGACGCTTCCCAGGGCGAAAGCTGCAGCTTACGAACTCTGCCAAGACTTGTGCGAATTTCTCTCTCGTCGATATCCACAAGTTTACACAGTTCAGCGTTCAACGAAGGACACATTGGGCTGGTATGGCCTCGGTTCTATCACTAAGATTGACATGCCACCATTGAGTGCATCATTTGACCTGACCAAAGAAGACCCATTGACCGTACGTCGTCACGTCTTGCACTCCATATTCGCATACATGTAGCGAAGCTGATGAGCACAGGTCGCTGGATTGATACAACCAGCGGATATCAACATACTTCTCCCCGGAGAGGATGGCTACTATCAACTTCTTGCCATGATGCTTGGCATCGGAGGTATGTGATGGTACAGCAGCTCAAAATGCAGTTACTGATATTATCTCGCCGATAGGAGGACAGAGAATCAAAGACAAGAGTACAGTAGTTGGACTTCTATTCATTGGCAATATGCTCACATTGCCTCAGTTGGTAGATCATTAGCGGACCTGCATTTCGGCGGACACGTACCACATTACAAAGATCAGCTTCAACGGCCACTTGATCGATATTTAGCAAAGCTTAAGGTGGAAGGTCCAATACACCGAAACAGTGAGTCTCATAGCCAATCTTAGACTTCTTGGAGAGTTGCTAATTTATGAAGCTACCGCCATCAGCATTCATGGTTTGTCTAACTCCGCTTCCTAGGCGTAATTGTGACTTTCGATATTGATAATCTTTTCTCAGACGAATGGCACTGGCCAACCTCGACAATGGGACCAGAAGATGATTGGGATCCAGCACATCGTGGGCCCGGGGTTGGCACACCCAGCTACGGTAAATGGAAAGCCCCTGGACCAATCAATGATCTATCCCAGCTATGGTTCCGGCAGGAGCGTCAAGTTTTAAGAAGACTGCCAAAATCGGGCGCCGTTGTATGGATGGTGCATACATACATCGAGCCGTTAGTGGAAGTTGCACAAGAACCTGGGGTCCCGGGTAGAATGGCATCGCTCATCCGTAGCTGGGACGATGTGCTAGCAGCGTGAGTAACCTCAATAATCCTGAAAAGCTCGCAGTAAGTTGAATATGACACTAACATCTACACCTACGCTCCAGCCATAAAGGCCGCGATCTGTATGCACATATTTTGCTACCATACCTAGATGAATTACACAGAAAACAGGTAGATGCTGGAATATGTGAAGAGGGTGAGCTACCAAGCAAATTCCCTTTTTAGACTAGAGCTCGTAGACGTCCAAAAAAGTTGCTAGCATATTTCCCAAATCAAAGATAGTTAGAGTTTACAAATAGATCTTGATAGAATGCTAAGGTTTGGAAAACGAACCCCAGCATTTCTAGATGGAAGAGGAGCGCGTATTTACCAGTCACAAGATGTAATTACATGCCGATGAGGTATTGGCGTCTGCCGCCAGATAAGTCATAGAAACATAGTTCATGAGATTTCACAAGGGAGAGACCATTGTATACAGAAACAGAATGAACGGGTCATTCTGGGCAAACTCGATAGTGGCTCAAGTCTTTAATATTAATAGATGATGACGAGCCTTGGACAAAATGAAGGTCACTTGATCCTTCAACCTCGGATAAGCAATGCCCCTTACAAATGATCTAACTCCTTTTAACTTGGATCCGTGCTAATGGAGAGGGTCAATGTCTTGGGCTACTAACCAGCCAGTATAATTGTTCTTTGGCATAGTCGTTCAGCCCCGAAATTCAGCGAATCTCTATCCTTCCTCCCAATTCGGGGCCGCCAGTGAATGAGTTTGCGTATCCGATGCTCTGGACACCCTAAAGCTGTTTAGCAGATGCGGCTGATGCTTGCATGAGGTCTGGCACGAGTCTGGCAAGCTCAACGGAATCTTTGGCGTCTGCGCTAGCCAACAATAGCAATATTCCCGCATAGATCCACTCTCATGACTGATAAGAGTTGGAGTTGATAAGGGCGACGATTCATGCAATCGCGAGCCCCATATTACTACACCGAGTCTCCGCAACGCTTCACCCAAATCTCAGCCAGCCTGGCGCGGCACATCAACGTCTAGCGACGTGACAAGGGGTAGATGACGTTTGGTACAAATATTTGATACAGAGCTTGAGAGAGCACCATGCAGACTGACTCACTTTCCAAAACGAAGAGGTCCCGGTCGACAACGGGCTGCATCGGATGCAGGTTACGTCGAAAGAAATGCAGCGAGGAGAAGCCTCATTGCGTCAATTGCATCCGTAACAGGATACTTTGCACATATCCACGAGTAGGCAACAAGAAGCATGACGAATTGCTTCGGAGGACCAACCCCACTCGTCGGAATTCAAATTCAAGTTCGATCAAGTCACGCGATGGGAAGAAGACGGGAGAAGATCACAGCGAGTGTTCGTCGCCAAGAACCAGTCGAGGATCTATGGCGCCTTCTTCTCCATCATCTACTATCAGTGACACAGTTGAGACAACCATTTTCGACATGGCGATTATCCAAGTATTGAACACATTTCCACGGTCTCTTGGCGCTCAGATCTTTTCAGAGCACAGTCTTCTGAAGCAGCCCGCTTCAAGGAGGCTTTTCCACCACTACCTTCATCGAACCTACAAAGTCATGGCTATATGTCAAGGAACGAGAAATCCATTTCTTAGGGAGCTTATTCCAATGGCAATGTCAAATGACCTGGTCTTGAACGGTCTGCTCGCATTTAGTGGCATTCATTACGCGGATCAGACCGGCATCCCGGTGGATGAGGTGACATGGCTGCACTATGGTCAGACGGTTCAAGGGGAGAAGTTCGGCTTGACTCTTTTGGCACAAGGAAGAAAAGAAGCACTCGTACCGTTGCTGGTGACGGCAATGCTTCTATGCATTGTAGAGGTACGCTGAAGTTGGTTGCGGTCTTCGATTCCTAACTAACCATCAGTAGACCTTTCGAATTGATTCGGGAGCTCTAGCTCTTCAACACCTGAAAGCAGCCCGCGTCTTGCTACAAGAAGCACTTCAACTTCCCGAGTCTCAACTCAGCCGTGAGACTCGTGCATTTCTAATTGAACGATACACATACACGATGATACTCGCACATATCACCATGGGCGCTGACTCAGACCAATGGGTATTGAACGATACGGCGCTTCTGTTTCCTATGATGCAAAATGCCTCGAACCAATACCCTGGTGCCATATCCGGGTGTGTCCACGAACTTTTTTACTTGATACCTAAGGTCTCAGTTCTCGCTCGTGAATGGAGAGACGGATTGCGATTTGGGCTGGACATAGAGGATCTAGCATCTCAGTACATGAGATTGCACACCACTATCGCAACCTGGCAACCCACATCGACCGATGAGGTACATGTCTTATGTGGCCGACTATATCAGCAAGCATTACTTGTGTATCTCGCTTCGTCATTCGAACACGAAGAGGAAGTTTTGGAGCAGGGACATGCCTACTCTGCGCCTGTCCATCAAGCCTTCAATGACTTCATGGAGTTCTTAGGTTCTATACCCCTCGATTCATCTATTTCTACAACTCTTTGCTGGCCTCTCG